AAAAAAAAAACAGAGTAAGTCAGAACCTAACCCATTCCTAGTATTTCAAAGTTTCCTCTATCATGAGATTTCCTACCCTAAGTGAGTAAATTCTTTGTAACTGGCCAGAGGGTAAGGATCCCCTAGGACCTCGGCTACAACCTCTGCATTCAGTCACAGTTGGCAAGGCACGTGTAAAGTTCCTGCTCTCTTGAGAAAACTTTATTCTACAAACAGGCCCTGTTTGCCAAATCCTGTTCTAAACCTCTGACATGGCATAGGATATGGCATAAACCCCATGAGTCTGTGCCTCCCTCACTGTGGCCGTCCTGCCTAAGCTGTGACCTTTCGCAGTGCCTGAACACGCTGGAGACAGATTTCAGAAGCCAGCCTCTGATGTTGGGCCAACATGGCACCAGGCTGATTTTTCCAACAGCCAAAGACAGTCCCAGGGTCCCACCTTATGAGTGGACCTTGATATTGAGTCAAAGCACCCCTCAGCCCTCACCACATTCCCATTCTCCACCCACCCTTGAATGCAGCCATATGGGGACCTGCCGGGTCCTGCTTGACTCCCAAACCAGTGATGCCCTTACCAGGTCGGGAGGTGGTTCTTGGCTTCTGTGGGATAGAGGGCCGGGCTGCTGGACTGGGCTTGGGGGACTGCAGGAGGGGCTTCGGGCTGCTGGGCATGCTGGAGGCGCTGCGAGCCCTGCTGCCCCCATCTACTCTGGGGTCCGCTTTGGTGTTCTTTTCTGGAGTGCCCAAACCAAAGCGGGTTTCTGGAAGACCGGGGTGCAGCTTAGGCACTAAAATGAAAAGTGGTCCCCAAAACATACTTTAAACATCAAAAGTCAAAGAAGCCAATCATTTAAATATAGAAATCTGGTGTAAACTGGTCATCACTGACCACGATTCTCATCACTGGCCTTTGAGAACAAATCCGTCCCATTTTAGTGACTTTAGAATCAAACACTAATGAAAGACTAACATTCTTCATAGAAGGTGATGTGAGGAAACTTCTCAGAAGTCTCACTACTGCAGAGACGACCAAGCATAAGGCAGACCTGAGGGGCAGAGCTGCAGAGAGCGGTCTTTGTTTTGTTTTGTGGTCTTTTTGAGGCAGGGTCTCCCTGCAGCTCCAGTTGGTCTGGAACGCTCTATGTAGACCAGGCTGGCCTTGAACTCACAGAGATTTGCCTGCCTCTGCCTCCCAAGTACTGGGATTAAAGGTGCGCGCCACCATGCTAGGCTGAGAGCAGTCTTACAGGTGGCCCAAGTCCTCTCCTGTTGGGGCAGTCTGCCAGTCTACTGTAAAACTGTGGCCCCAGCCCTCAAAGTAAAACCTCAATTCTTAACATAAGGGAATGTCTTAACTGACAGGCAGTCATGCGATTAATCATGGGGCCTCTAGAAATCTTAAAAAGGAGTTGGCTAGGAGGAGGCCAAGGGCCCTTGTCTCTGGATGTCAGAATACCCACTGTGGCTAGACATCCTTAAGGCTGCTGACAGGTGTTCCTGCTCTGACATAAACCAAGGTACCAGGGCAATTGTGCATGTGTGCAGAACTTGGTTTCATGATAATAATCACACACTGTGGCTTTGAGTGCCTCCTCTGTGAGCTTTTCTAAAGAAGCCTTAAAAGGGAATCCAGTGTACCATGATTTGGGAGGGAAACATGAATATGCTAACCACCTCACGAATATTCATAAAAGTGCCTTAAAATTTCACAACCCAGTCCACTGGACTGCACCCCCACACACTGTGGAACAGCCCATTTCAATTTCTCTGTGGAAGCCTTGCTTTACTTTGCTAAATAAACTTCTGCTTATACCATGTCTCTCAATTGAATTCTTTCTTTCTAGAAGACAAGAACCAATCCCTGGAACAAGATGTCAAGTTTTACACGTCACAGCATAGAGTCACATGCACAGAGGTGGTTTCGTGCATTCCAAGACTTCAGAGCTTTCTCAGACCTGGCAGAGGGGACAGGTGCACCGACAGGAAGCACCTCAGTTTTAACAACTAATGACCAGTTAGGGCTCTGCTTGCAGACTGAGGGAGGAGGGCTGTGCCAACCAGACCTCAGGTTTAACATGAGAAGCCTCCAGCAACATGAGCCTATCCCTCCATCAAACTGCTATCTACACCTAACAGACACCTGGCAGGAAAGTCGGTTCATCCAACTCTCACCACATAAAGATACGGTAGGAAGTGGTGAGGCTCAGAACACCGAAAGGCGAACACCAGGATTCCAGCACACAATTTACAAGTTACACCCTAGTTTCCAACCAAAGTTTATCTACCCCTTTTATTACACCTAAAGATTCAAAGGAACGAAGGGCATTGGATTTCACTGACATTTAAGTTACAGGGGGAAATGTTTCTGCCTAGCATACAAAACAGCTGGCCCCTTCCACATGCCACAGTTTATTTCTTAAGACATCATACGTGCATGGCTCCATGCTCTTTCAATAAAATGCCCGCAATTCAGGAGTTCTTCATTAAAAGGAAAAAAAGAAAAAGGATAATCCAAATTGCTTCCCTCTGGGAGACCAGAAAAAATGTCCCCTAAGACACACAGCTATAGGCCAGGAGCACCCCAGGAGGACAGGGGCAGGAGAGGGACGTGGGTTTCAGTAGGAGAGGAGAATCCTGAGGCCTGTCCTCCATTTTCGCTTTTCTTCTTTCAACCATGGACAACTCCTAAAATCTGAAGGCAAATGGTTTTCTTAAAGGGAGAGAGCCAATGGTCTGGCTTACCTGCTATGCCTCCATCCAACCTTTCCGTGCTGCTCAAGACTGGGCTGGAGGAATCCTGGGGGCTGCTGTCACTGCCAAGCTTCTGAAAATTGAAGCACCCCCCAAAACGGCACATTTGAGATATAGGAAAAAAAGGTTAAAAAAAAGTAAGGCAGATAATGAATGACAACAGATAACAGCTCCCTCCCTCCGCCACTGCTGCAGGAACCCCAACATCCACCTGGGCTTGGAGGCCTGAGAGGACAGATTCAGGTTTGCATTCCAGAAAACCTAGATTTTGTTATGTTTCTGTTTGTTTCTGTTTTGTTTTGAGACTGGATCTCACTCCATAGCCCAGGTTACCCTAAAATTCACTATGCATAGTCCAAGCTGGCCTCAAACGCATCCTCCTACCTCAGTTTCCCAAGTACCAGGACTTTAGGTATGAGCTACTATACCCAGCTTCCAGGAAATGTAGTTTGAAAAGCAATTGAAGGACCAGTAAGGTGGCTTATCAGATAAGGGCGCTGGCCACCAAGCTGATAACCTGTTCTTAATCCCCAGAACCCAGGTGGTGGAAGGAGAGAACTAACTTCTACATGTTTTCCTGAGTGCCATACACATACATTTACACACACATAATAAATACATGTTAAAAACAAAAAAGCAATGGAAGTTGGGCGAGGTGGTGCACGCCTTTGATCCCAGCACTTGGGAAGCAGAGGCAGGTGGATCTTTGTGAGTTCAAGGCCAGCATGCACTACACAGAATGTTCTGAGTCAGTCTGAGCTATAGTGTGAGACTGTCTCAATTTTTTTTAATTTAATAATTAAAATACAAAATTGAGGTCAGCAGGCAGAGGAGCCGGCACTTAGGCCCTCAGCTGAAGAGCAAGAATCTGCTGCCCACTCGTCGATTCAGTCTCATGACACACGGGAGTAGGACTCACTGTACCCTGAGGATAGGAGATGTCAGGGAGGTGGTGGGCTCTCAGCAAGACGGCAGTCTCATGAGTGAAGGGTACCGAGCCAGTCCCCAGCACCACTGCGACAAGGGGCACATCATGTGGCATTGTATGGAAAAGCAATCCCAAGAGAAGGAGCCCATGTCAGCTACCCCACCCCCGTGCCTTGGGCAAAGTCTACAGGGCAAGATGAGATTCTACTTATGTAGGAGCACCCCACCCTCGCGCCCCCACCCTCCCCCACTCCTCCAATGGGAGGGTCAACTGTCTGTCAACCAGGGACACTTATGTTACCACCTTTGTAGGCAACTCGGTGACTACATTTTAGGGGGAGATATTCTAGAGCCTAAAATGTTTATTATTCTGATGACTGACAGGTCTGAACGGTATACACATTGAGGTTTTTAATGAGTGCTGTTTAAATGGACACTAGGCGGCATTGTGAGAACACTAGCACACACCCAGACCAAACACCAACACTAAGTCACAGGACTGTGCCACACTGAGTCAGTTTATGTATCAATCCAAACACATGGAAAAATACTCTAGAATTTGTCTTCCCACTGACACGTAGCTATTCCTCAAGGGAAACAGTGATACATGGTTTTAGCGAAAGCATGACATCTGTTGTAAATTTATGAAACATTTATGCATCTGGCTCACGGTGCAGACACTGCAGTCACTCAGAATGCTGACCAGTGATGGCCAATCACGCTTCCCTCACGGCACCAGCAGGACAGTTACATGGGCCCTCCCAACTCTGTGGTCTGTGGAGGAGTATGGGGGATCTGCAGCTGGTGTGTGGGAGAACACTGATGAACAGCTGGAGGGTCTGGTGGGATGCAGGGTTTAATGAAAAACAGTTAAGAGGGAACACATGCCTGCTGTGTAGTGTACTCTGCACATTCTGAAAGTCAAGGGCACTGGGGAGAACCGGTTCCTTCTGACACCTCCAGCAAAACAGGGCAGTTTTCCTTTCTTTGAGGAATTTGCTTTGTCACAGGGCTCAGGACAATTGCTGAAGAGCTGAACTTTGGTGACACACAGGCACGTTTAACTGAATAGTTAGAACACGCTCCTTCCAGCAGCTGCAGAGGACAACGGGCAAAATTCTGAACCGAGAAGCCAAGTAACGATGCGGCTGAGGTGTGGCTCAGCAGCACGGTGCCTGCTCACCACACAAAGACACCCTGGGCATGAGCTCTGGCACCCCAAAAGTAAGGGAGATTGAAAGGAACTCTTGGAGAAGCTGGCAGGCTTGCTGTAAGTCAGAGTTTGAGGAGACTCGGCAATTTTTTCCTTTCCAAAATTTTCTCTTGTGCCGAGGGAATGAACCACATCCTGGCAAAGGCGGGGGAAACGCTCTGCCACCTCCTCAGCCCTGAGACTTAGCAATTTCTAAAGTACTCTGCTTTTCATCATATAAGCAGATAATACAAAGTCCCGCCAACTCTGTAATCAGTTCTAATGGGAAATGGTTCTTCTGTCATTTAAATCTGGCATAAGGCAAGGATTTTGACGTCCAAAAAGAGTTAAGCTAAACTATGCAGGGAAGGGCGTTGGCCTTTCATAGGGATCATCTGGTTGCCATCGGCCCTTTGCCTGCTGGGTCTCCTATCTCCAGCCACCCTCAGGGTCTGAACCAATCTTTTCTGGGGAACAGGAGCCAGGGCTAGTGGGACAAAGCTTATTTCTCAATCCAGTGGTCTACCTTCAAATCTGTGTGGCTCTCAAGGCTGTGAACCTGAGCTGGGCATGTAATCCCAGCAAGGAGGTGAGGTGGGATAAACGCAGGACGATCACGAGTTTGGGGCCAGCCTGCAGCTACATAGGGAATTTGAGCCTAGCCTAGGCCTGAAATGAGGTTGAGGCCAGCCTGGGCTACTGTGTGAAATCCTATCTCAAAACAGCCAATAGAGAAAGCTTGGCCCAGGCACCGAAAATGTCCAGGATGGACTCCGGGCTCTTTGGGGGTAAATACTCAGTTTTTGCACTTTATTTAACCCCCAGGCCAATTACCCCAGAGGATGGAGCCGGACCAGGGTGGGTCCTCACCTTCTGCGCGCAGGCGGCTCTGCGCTCCTGCTTCGCCTTCATCTCGGCCAGCAGCCCGCTGCCCATCACCTGCACGTAGCGCCGGCCGGCCTGCGGGCTGGCCCTGCTGTCCCCGCGCTCCGGCCTGGCCGCGTCCTCCCAGGGTCCCTCCTCGGGGGGCTCGGGCGTCCTGGGCTCCTCCGCGCGCTCTGAGGCGCCGTTGTGCTCGGCCGCCTTCGTGTCCTTCCTGGCGGTGTCCACGGCTGGGCTCCGGATGGATCCCTTGGGTGCCGAGGGCTCTTCCGACATCAGGACTGTGGGTGGCCGCTCAGGTCTGGACCGAGATTTGATAAGGTTGAGAAAGCCGCTCCTCCGGGAATCCCGTTTTTTCTTCTCTTCTCCTTCGCCCAGCTCGTGGGCATCTGAGCCCCGCGTGGATGACCTCCTGCATCGCAGCCAAGACACATACTATTGGCTAAGTCCAAGCAGGTCTTGGTGAAAACATAAACGGGGTGGGGGACTGGAGTAATGCTCAGTGATTAAGAGCACTGGCTGCTCTTGCAGAGGACCCTGGTTCAGTTTCCAGCATCCACATGGCAGCTGACAACCAGTCATAACTCTTGTTCCCAGGGGATCTGAAGCCCTCTTCTGACCTCTGCAGACATTGCATGACATGGGTGTACATACACACATGCAGGCAAAACACCCATGCACATAAAATAAGCACATTTTAAAAAATAAAATAAAAAAACAAAGGAACAACACAAAAGTAACCACTGCATTGACAGCCACATTCTGCAGCATTTAAAAAGTTAGGTCTATGCTAAGGGAAGACGGAGGAACTAAATTATCTGCCTCATGTCCACCTGGGAGGAAACACACAAGTTACCAATGAGAACCTGAGGGTGTTGGAGGCAGAGGTGAGATTTGCAATGATCAGGGACCTCACACCATGGTGAACTCCCTAAGCTTGGGGCGTAGTGGGGAATCTTGTTTAATTTGAGTGATACTGGACAGGGCCTCCTTGACTTTCATGAAGTCCCACACTTAGTACGCAGTCCTAGCAAAGACTTGGATCTTTGCTTAATTGGAATAGACCACCAGAATAAGCAACGTGAAAGACTAGGGTGCTCGTGCACAGTTGTGATCCCAGTACTGTGATCCCAGGTGGAGGTGGGAGGATCAGGAGGCTCAAGATCAGTCTGGGCTACAGGAGACCCTGTATCTCTCTCTCTCTCTCTCTCTCTCTCACACACACACACACAGCGGGGG